GGGGGTTGACCTGCTGGAGAGCAGCTCTGCGGAGAAGGACCTGGGAGTGCTGGTGGACAACAAGTTGACCATGAGCCAGCAATGTGCCCTTGTGGCCAAGGAGGCCAATGGTCTCCTGGGGTGCCTTAGGCAGAGTGTTGCCAGCAGGTGGAGGGAGGTGATCCTGCCCCTCTCCTCAGCCCTGGGGGAGGCCTCACCTGGAGTCCTGTGCCCAATTCTGGGCTCCCCAGCACAAGAGAGACATGGTACTACTGGAGAGAGTCCAGCGGAGGGCTACCAAGATGAGTAGGGGACTGGAGCATCTCTCTTCGGAAGAAAGGCTGAGGGAGCTGAGCCTGTTCAGCCTGGAGAAGAGAAGACTGAGAGGTGATCTGACTAATGTGTACAAGTATCTGAAGGGGGGATGTCAAGAGGATGGGGCCAGACTCTTCTCCGTGGTGCCCAGCGACAGGACAAGAGGCAACGGGCACAAACTGCAACGCAGGCAGTTCCATCTGAACCTGAGGAAAAACTTTTTGACTGTGAGGGTGACTGAGTAGTGGAAGAGGTTGCCCAGAGAGGTGGAGGAGTCTCCTTCGCTGGAGATGTTCAAAACCCGCCTGGACACAATCCTGTGCAATGTGCTCTAGGTGAGCTGGGTTGAGCAGATGATCTCCAGAGGTCCCTTCCAACCTCAGCCCTTCTGTGATCTTTCACACCTGCCCTGCCAAAGCACGGCTGTAACATCACCATCAGAGATGGCTCTTCACTGTAGCGTGGTCTTAAGGACTATTGGTCCTCACTGAACTCTTTTAAACAGTGTTAATTGTTGGCAGAGAGAATTATGCCCCTGGGGTGCTCTCTTTTCAGCCCGTGGGTCGAAAAAGCTGGTGTGGGTATGTGAGGCGTGCAGACACGCTGAGCCAAGCTCTGGGCCAAGCTCTGTTTCCTCTCATGGGCTGCCAACGAGAGGGCTGGAGAAGGTGCCTGGTGGTATCTCCCTGACCTATTCCGGCAGCGATAAAGGCAGCGAGGCTGTATGTCCAGTGTGCCAAGACTATCTCCAGCTGCTTTAAGCTTCTCTGTGCCTGGACCGGCTCCTGATAGCCCCAGATTTGACCACGACAGAGTAGACCTGTGCTCTTCCCGGTGCTGTATGCAGTGATGGACAAGTTGGTGTGCGGCCTCCTCTCTTTTCTGGCCTGTGCTGTTTCTGCTGGATGCAAAGGTGAGAAACTTCGCAAGGTTGGTTCTGCTGAATAATTCACATGCCTGTGCTCACCAATGCAGGAAGGACACGTGCGCACCATTGAGACGCTGCTGTCCCTCGGCGCCGACGTCCACGCGAAGGATGGGAAGAGCCGTTCTGGTAAGGCTGCTGAGTTACTTATTCACGCTCCGTATCACGCTGAGACTGTGCTTTAATAACAGGAGCCCAGCCTCCAAAACAGCCAGCGCTGTGTATGCTTAGCAGACGGTGCAACGGGGTGCCCGTATGCAAACAGATCTTGGAGCAGTGCGACACGTGAAGGCGAGTTTCTTGCAGCTTTCATTCACTGGCTCTCTGCCTTCTGCTTTCTCTGATGTCTAATGACAGGGTTGAGCCTGCATTGTGGCCTTTCCCTTGGGGGAGGAACAGAAGCACTCATTTGGGTTTCTCTCTGCCCAGCTGCCTATTTTGCATGAAACTTTCAGGAGCTAAGTATCTTTGGTTCCCCTACTTCTCCATCGAATGCAGTTGAAATAAGCCAATGCAAAACTGTTAGGGTGGGCACACAAATGCAGTGACTGCGCAGTCTCCTAAGGCTTCAGTTCCTTAGCAAACTGCCTAAGGATGGCTTGTGAGCAAATAATAACTTAGAGCTTGAACGTAAATATAGTTGCCATAGTAATGTCAGTGCGTTGGCATTCCCAGCAGGAGAGCATGAAGCATCTTTTGCATCAGCATCGCTAAAAAAAATGTATATATAAATGGTTTCAACCGTTGCCAAAATTGGCAGCTTCCCCGGTCTTCAGGTTTGCTTAATAACACGCTTCGGCGGTGAGTGTGAACAGCCTTGTATCTCTCGATCTCTCTCTCCCTCCGCCCCCTCACTGAGTAAGTTCAAGCTCTGCTGAACTCGTCCAAACCTGGGACGAGTTTGTCATGGTTTCCTGCGCCCATCGGCTGCCCCGCTCTCCAGCGCCTTTGCTGTGTTAGTGTCAGTGCGTCCTGGGGCACTTCTCACCCTGCCTCCGCTCCCGCAAGGTGTCCTGCGTGGGGTGTCCTGATCCCACCTGCCAGGCCCATGTCGGCCTGCTGATTGCAGCAGGAGCTAACGCCTTCAGCGCAAAAGATACTTGGCCCTGTGCAGGATTAGGCCAGGAAAACATGGCGAATCAGAGGGACTAGTAACTGGTGAGGAGGAGGTCAGGGAATAGCTGGGGTAAGGTGGGCCAATAGCTCTCCTGCCAGCACAGTTGGGCACGGAAGAGGATGTGTCCCCTGCCTGCGTAGGTTTAGTCATCCCGTCCCTGTTGCAGATGGGCACAGCCGTGGCAGCTGAGCCCTGCGCTGTCATCACATGGGTGCTCAGCTGGGTAATGTAATTGGAAAAAGTAATCTTTCACCCTCAGGGCGTTCCCTCGGCGGACTTGATTTCCTTCAGCGGGAAGCCAACGTTTGCAGCTGAAACAGACGGAGGCCAAAGCCACCGGGGAATCTCAGTTCCTTTCTTGACATCCTGTCTCCCCCACAGCCCTGCACATGGCCTGCGCAGGGCAGCACGCAGCTGCCGCACGGATCCTGCTCCGCGCTGGGCTGCGGGACTCCCCGGACAGCACGGGCACCCTGGCACGGCAGCTTGCAAGGAAGCCGGATGTCATCCAGCTTTTCCAAGAAATGGATGTTAGTACGTGAAACCAACCGAAGAACTGTTACATTTCCGCATGGTACGTTTGTTATCGCTTACGACTATCCAGATTTAGGCAGCCACCTGCTTAAGATGGTGGGATTTTTACCCGAGGATTGAGCAGAGAGCTCAAGCTTGACACATGGGAAGAGTGTTTAGGAGAAAGCATGCTTTAAATAGGATTATCTCAATTAGATAATGGACGTAATGCATCTGGGCTTTCACGCTCCTGCGCGACCCCGTCCTTGTAGATTCATGGCTACTCTTCTTTCACTTCCAAATTTCAGGGCTGAGCTACACCTCTTCAGCTCTGCTTGTGCAGCAGCCAGCACGTCTAAACGGCTGAGACCGCTCAAGGAAAGTGCTCCGGGCGCCCCAGGCAGATGACCTCTGGGGACCTGTATGGCTAGAAGCCATTGAGCCTGCCTGGCTCTTCATGGGATGTTTCCATACATCCTGAAGGGAAAGAAAAACCTGGACCATTGATTTCTAAAGCCTTCTATAGACCTCCTCTTCATGAACCTGTTAAATTACTTTAAGTGACCTCCTCTTTCAGTAGCATCCTGGAGGAGGCCAAGCGTGGTGCAGCATAAATGAGCTCTTGGTGACTCTCCCTTCACCAGGATTGAGAGCTGCAGTGAGCAGTGCACGAAAGCTTCGAGCGACCTCTGCGTCTTACATCCTTTCTGTGGGCCAAGCCTGATCCCAAAGCCTGCTGAAATAGAAAGAAAGACCTAAGCCTTGTGGTGACATCAAGGGTCTTCGGATCAGACTGAAAAAGAGCTATTTGTTATCGCAGACAACCTTGCTTGGCACTTCTCACCACCAATGAACTTTAAAAAACCAAACAACTCACACTTTGAAGTGCATAGGGAGATGGCTTAATATTTCATGCGGCTGGTAAGTCTCTAACAGTCTGCAATATGCGTAAAGCTAAGAGCTGCTGTTGCTGTTTGGTTTTATATATATCTAGAATTAAAAGCTTGGTTGCACATTGAAACATAACATGCTCTTATCTCTATGTAATGTCAAGGCATGGAAAAGAATGGGATTCTGCAGTTTTGTTGATAGCAAACGATAAAAATCAGACAGGCCTATAACTGAGCAGGCTAGGCTTGTGTTTTGCTCTGCTTTACGCTTGGCCCCAAGCCAGGGTGGTCACATCACGGTTTGATGCATGGCCTGCAGGTTCCGTCCCGGTTGGGTTTGAGACGACGCTGAGCTCCGTTCGAGCGGGAAATTTCCACCTTGCGGTCCCTCGAGCGCGATTCGCCACGAGGACCCTGAGCCAGAGGCACAACAGCGTTCCTCTGGGCCCTTTTAAACCGGAGCGCAACTGGGCGGTTTGCAGGACGCCGCAGTGCTGGGCAGCAGCTTGCCAGGGCCTCTAACCGGCAGGGCTGTATTTGTTGTAGGGTGGTGGCTTGCTCCAGTTTCTAAATATCCTTGTTGGAGGATTTTTGGAAGAGGCTGCCGCTGCCCCGGGAGCAGGTCCTGCCTGCAAAGCCCTGCTTTGGGCCCTGCAGATATACAGCAGTCTTTCCCTGTCTTGTTTCCTCGTCTGTGAAAGGAAGGAGATTCTTTTCCACCAGGGAGGGAAAATAAATTAATGCTGGAAGGTGCTAACGGCCCAGGGCGAAGGAAGCTGTATCAGCCCCTGGACAGGCGAGGAAGCGGCTTTATTTCTCTCAAGATCCTGAATGCTTCTGTAAATCTGGCCCTGGCCTCCATAAAGCAGATCAGGAATACTGCGGCCTGGTCTGCATGAGTGCCAGGGGCTGCTTTATTCCCATTTTTCATGGTTCTCACAACCCAGGAAGTAGGTATTTTTCCCCTCTTGCCCTGCTGATGGACACAGACTGCTTGCGAGTCTTTTATGAGAAAGCAAAGGAGAATGTTTTCATGTATCTGCTTCTAGTTTTCCTGGCCACAGCAAAGACCTTGGAAATATAAAAGGGAATTTGCATTATTTGTAAGGTGTTTTATGATTTCTGAAGGCTTCTGCACAGTAGCAGGAGGCCTCTCCGCCTGGGCAGCTCCTGGGCCTGGGAGCTACGAGACCGCGCTCTCGTCCGAGAGAGAGATGTAATTCCACGTCCTCGGTAACGTTTATTATTTACCCTTCTCTCAAATCTGTGCTTGAGGCAATAAAAAGATGCACAGAAACGAACCGGCTGTTGTCACTGCGCGTGGTCGGGTGTAAAAGGACAAGCAGAAAAGGAACTCGGATTCAGCTTTATGCCTGCAAAATTAAGCTGGGGAGAAGCCCTTGGTCCTTTCCTCGTTGGTCAGAAGTTGCAAGGTAGGAGCCGGGTGCTCTGTCACGCGGCGCTCAGCTCAGCTCGGAGCAGAGCCCGCGCGCCGGCCCACGGCCTGAGCGCGGTCTCGTTATGCCTCATTTGGGGAGCAGGGACGGGTGGCAGCAGGCCACCTCTTGCACCCCGGTCCGGGGCTCAGTGCGGGTGCTTGCCCGGTCCCTCGGTGCCCTGCAAACACTTCCGGTGCTGCGTCGGGGCAGAAGATGCAGCTCGTCGTTCCTGAGGAGCCCTGTAACCGAGGAAGATTTCTTCTTACCTTGGCGTGAATCAGCTCGGCGCGAGACCTGGGGAGCTCGGAGGCAGCCTTCTCCATCAGCAGGCGTTTTTCAGTATTTCAGAAGGAAATTTGTGCGATCCTTTAACAGAGGCGTTTCGGGGCTGGCCAGGTCCGATCCCTCCTCGGCGCCGCGCAGGAGGCTTCGACTCTCCAGGCTTTTCTCCTGGAATCGTTCCAAGTCGGTTAACGTGGAGCTGCAAAGAGCTGCTCTGCTCCTACCTAAGTCCCATCCAAGTGGCCACGGTTGGGTTTTGGCTGCCGGGTTTCAGCCTCGCGCGCGCCTGCTTCCCCGGGATGAGCCAGCCCCGTCCCTGCCTTCGCAGGGGGCTCGAACGCCCGGGGCTGGCGCCCCGCTGCTCTGCCCTCTGCGCGTCCCCGGGGCAGATACGGGGGCCGCGGCCGTATAATCGAATTAAGAAGCCTTAAGCGCTGACAACAGAGGTTGGCTCCGGGCGTTTAATCTGAGCCTGGGTGTTTAATCCTGGCGCTGGGACGGGTGTGCGTCGCCCGGCTGTGCTATTTAATTGGGGCGACCTGTGGAAGAGGGTAGGTTTGGCTGCACCTCCGGTGCGGTCGTGCCTACGGGGACCGGTGACGGGTCAGACACAGCTCGTTGGTCCCGTAGGAGACGAGTGTACTTTAGAGTCATTGGCGCTCTTTTTCCCCCGCTCTCCCTCTTTTAGCTCGTCGGCGGATGCCCGCACGTCGACGCAGCACAAACCGCGTGGCTGAGCACGGCCGAACTCATCTCACGGGTGGCAGCAGCAAAGGAAGGATGGAAATAACAGAGATGGAAGGAGGGAAGAAGAGAAGGAAGAAAGGCTGAGCGGATGGGAGGACAGAAGGATGAAAGGATGAGGTGGTGGGAGGAGAGAAGGAGGGGAAGATGGGCAATGGGTCTACCAGGGATGACAGGATGGAAGAAGAGGATGGAAGGATGAAGGGATGGGATGATGGGGATGGAAATACCAGAGATGGAAGGATGGGGAGAAGGTTGGGAAGATGGGGATGGAAATAGGGAGGAAAGGATGGAAGAAGAGAAGGATGGGAAGGATGGACAGAGCCTGGGAGGATGGAAGGATGAAAGCAGGGTGGGAGGATAGGAGATAAAAGGATGGAAGGATGAGGTGACGGGAGGCAGAAGGATGGGGGGATGGAAATATTGGGGATGGAAGTATGAAAGGGGAGATGGGAAGATGGGCCATGGAAGTATCAGAGATGGAAGGATGGAAGAACAGGAGGAGAGGAGATGGAAGAATCAAATGATGGGAGAACGGTGGGGGGAAGGACAGAAGGTTGGAAGTATGAAAGGATGGAAGGACGGGAGGACGGGAGGATGGGAAGGTGGGGAGGATGGAAGGACGGGTGACAGGAGGATGGAGGGGTGGAAGGACGGGTGACGGGAGGATGGAGGGGTGGAAGGACGGGGCGACGGGAGGATGGAGGGGTGGAAGGACGGGGCGA